TCGGGTTGAGGAATAGTCCATTGTATATGTGAACCGTAACTTCTTTATCCATTTGTCTGTCGATGGGCATTTAGGTTGCTTCCATATCTTGGCTGTTGTAAATTGAACATGAACATAGGGGTGCATAGATCTTTACAAATTATTGTCTTGGTTTTCTTTGGATAAATACCCAGAAGTGCAATTGCTGGGTCAAAAGACAGATCCATTTTTAATTTTTTGAGGAACTTCCATACTGTTTTCCGTAGTTGCTGTACCAGTTTGTAGTCCCACCAGCAGTGTATGAGGGTAAGACTGGAGTGGTTTCATACTCATGCTTTGTTTCATTGGTTTTAAATACTGTGTCATTAATTACACTTGATTTTCTGTTTAGACATAATTGGTCTTTGGATCTTATCTTTGGTCAGTCTACTTCTTATTTATATTCTAGGTCTAACTAAGGTCAGATGCTTTTGTAAAGATAATAAATACAATACAATGTCCTAATATTTTGCCCTCCACATCTTACTTATAATTTAGTCGCTGACAGTGTTAAGAAATGGATCCAGCAAGGGCTTTGTTTAGGATTTTGCCAGAAGCAGAGACCAGAGATGCTGTGTTTCAGCAGTTATCTTCTTTTCTTTTTCAAGATAGTGTTATTTTTGAAATATGACACATCTTCCATTTCTCCATGTTAAAGAAAATCCTCGTTCACTTTTGAGGTCGAGATGAGATTTATGTACAAAATTGGGGTAATACACTCTTAGTGTAGTTTTGGTTTGAAATACACCTAGATATTAAAATTGTCACCTATAGTACCTTATGACTTTTTTCTTAAAAGAAGTATGGTAAAAAGCCATGAGCAGAAAGACAGAATTTTTATACTCTGTTCCTATTTCTAAAAAGTATAATTTGGAATTATATTTTATATATGTATTCTCTGTTTCCCTTTTCCATAGCTGCTTTTTCTCTTAAGTAGGAGACTTAACGAATTCTATAATCTTGACTGAAATATATATTCTTTATATACCCTTGAATAAAATGTATTGCAAACATAGAAATATTAACAACTCCATGCCTAAATATTAGCTGATAAGACATTCCCTTCAAGGAGACTTACTCTTTAAATACTGTGTCTCAGATAATTTTTTGGTGATTTTTATATCGTTATTGATATACATTGATTAAATGACTGAGTTTATATGAATTTTACCTTATAGCCATCTGATTTAAGTCATTAAATTGATCTTTTTTTTTTGGTGCAGGAGAAGCTTATCAAAAATGGAGCATTTCACTGTGTTTTAAAATCTTTTTCTGTCTTGAGGTTTTACCTCTTCTGGTCTTAGAGAAATATGAAATTTTTATATCATTAGTGCTTAGAACATATATTAAAGGTTTGCCTTTTTCTTTTGTAGGATGAAGTGGCACATACTCTAACTGAAAGCAGAGTATTAAAGAACACTAGACATCCCTTTTTAACAGTAAGTGACTAGAGGATAGATGTTATGACATTATAAATTTAAGGGAGTTTTATTACAGAAACTAAGCTATGAAAAATAACATTTTAAATAACATTTAATCAGGTATGCTGTTTTCTGTGTGTGTGTAAAGACTGTGTTTGGATTTCTTCAAAAGTATCAGAATGCATGGATTACATTTACAATATGCATGCATTTGTAATCCCTCCAATTATGCACCTGTTACTTTTTTGAAACTTCACTGCCTTTAAAAAAAAAAAAAAATCCATAGAGCAAATAAATCACCTATGGCATTTTAAGGAGACTACTGAGAAAATGATGGACTTAAAAAAGGTTCTACTAAAAAGATCAGTAGTAAAAATAAGGATTTTGTTTCTTTTGTTTATTGGTTTCCAATAAATATATAAGTGATTAGGCAGCATTGTCTTCAAATATGAAAGGCAGAAATTCTTACTGAATATTTTTTATAGAAATTGAGACTTCTTTTAGTTATAGAGTACTTTAAGAAATACAGGAATATTGAATAAAGATGGGATAAGTCATGATATGTTTTCTTCACTAGATAAAGTATAAACTTAGTTATCGTGAAACATATTTTTAGTCCTATTCCTAGATTGCTTTTAATTGACTCATAATTTACAAAGTTTCTGTATATTTCTGGTTCCATTGAAGTATATTAAGATAAAAAATAGCAGCTAGACTTTCAAGAGGCGGTGCTTTTAAAGATTTAGGATTACTGTAATTAGGAATTTTCAGAGGTACCATTAGATGCCTAGACTTATGTTGTTAGTTTGTTGTATGTTTTTGTCCAGTGTATTAAGATAGCTCTAAAGTTCTGATATCTTTATAACCTATAAAATTACATGAACCAACTGTTGGATTGGGTCATGTTATACACCCAGCACGCAAAAAGTTATGTTGTAACTATGTTATGTCCCCAAATATAACTACCATAACTATATTCCTAAGACTTCTACTGGAGTCATTTGTAGGCCTCAGTTTAAGGCCCCGTGGATAAGAACTTTGGGGACTAATAGAGTATGAAATGGATGACACAATAAATTGAGAAGTGCGCATCACAATTACTAAGTTTATTATCACTTAAAATTTTAATTTTCCCCTCACAATCCCCATTGCCGATTTAAATGTAATTTGTTTTATGTTCCCCATAAACTCTTACTTAAGCACTCTTAGGGAATAAATAGACTCTTAAGGAATAACAACAGTTCATTTAATCAATCACGCTTACTGTTTCTAAGTGTTCTATTTGGTACCATTATAAGAATGTAGGATTATAATACCACATTTTTTCTTTTTCATTTCAAGTCCTTGAAATATTCCTTCCAGACAAAAGACCGTTTGTGTTTTGTGATGGAATATGTTAATGGGGGAGAGGTGAGTCACGGAGTGAATCCGGCGCTTGCATTTGCATGGTAGTATCGTCATTAGTTTTAAAAAATTATTTAAAATATAAATTGTAATATCACAGTTCTCTGCTTCTTGATAGAGATTTGTATAGCTCTAATATTTAGTAGATGAGAGCTGAATAATTCCAAATGAAATATAACGATGGTTTATTTTTTAATAACTACTTTTATATATTAGAAAGTATAATTACATTCTTTTTTCCTGTATTTTTCACCTGTAAAAAATTTAGCAAAAGTAAAATTATGAAATCATGTTATTTAATTTTGAATATCAGACATATAGGATTTATGATGCTTTACAAAGTTCTTCCTCAGGTTTTTGTGAAACTTGTAAAAATTATTTTACTCATTTTAAACTCAGTTGAATGATAGTCGATAGGCTGAGTTTTCTCTTCTTCCGCATAGTATAGTAACCTTGACTATATTTAAGAGATTTTAAGGGATCTTGTAGTTTTGAAGAGAAACTCCATGATTTTAGTAGTACATTTCTCCGTTTTCTTTATTCCTTATCCTTTCTTCTCCTTATTTTGATAAAAAAATCAATGTAATCAAAATTTACTGGAATAGTTAACTCGAAATATTTTACATTGTGGGCTTTCTGAAATAAGTTTATTAAATAGGGGCTTATATCTCACAGACTTTGAAAGTCCTATTTTCAAAAATAAATATTCTCTATAGAATGTTTTCTCCAATAGAATTATCTGACTTGTAGGAATTAGTTCATTGCAAAAATTCATTTATTCATTTGGTAAGCACATTTTGAGTGCCTCAGCTGTGCGGGTTTATCAAAATGAATTAAGACTTCATCCTTTCTATGAAGTTTATAATTTATCTTGTAAGTGTTTTGTAAATTAGAACATTTAGTGAAAGACCTAAGTACTAATACATTTATAAAAGAAAATGCTTTACGCGTAGCATTTAGCGTAGGCCGTAAGTGGAATGTCAGCAGGGGAGCTGATTTGAGAAGATATTTCAGGCAGAGAGGATGATGTGAGTAGAATCACTGATGGATGAGCACAGGGCAAGGACTGGAGTGGTAAGCCAGGAACAGCTCAGGCAGTCAGAACTGGGTCCTTGCAGTCAGGTGTTCTCTGAGAAAATACAAAAAACATGGGTGTTGTGGAACTTTATAGGATTGGTATGACTTAACCGATTAACTGGACGTGGGTAGAAAGAGAGAAGTATCTACTAAAAAGAATAAGGCAGCCCAATATGGGCTGATAGAGAACAATTTCTAAGATATGTTATGAAGTGAAAAAAACAATGTGCAGAGTATAAAGCATGCTACTGTTGTATTAAGTAAGACCATGCATATGTCTGTATATGCATCAACATCTCTGCAGTCACACACTGGGCATTAGAACTTATCTTTGGGAAGATGAACTGAGTAGCTGAGGATGAGGTAGAGGAAGACGTATTTTTCACTTATATATTGTTGTGCAGCTTTTACATTTTGTACCACATTTTGTGTGTGTGTGTGTGTGTGTGTGTGTGCGTGCGCGCGCGCGTGTGTGTGTATTATCAATATAAGAAATTCAAGGAAGGAAGATAGGCAGGCAAGCAAATGGTTAGATGGATGATCGGATGGCTTGCTGAATGGATGGATGGATGGATAGATGGATGGATAGATGGATGGATAGTTGGGGGGATGGATCGATGGATGGATGGGTAGATGACCAGGGGAGAGAATAATACAGGGAAAATGACAAACTTCAGATAAAAACTTGGAGAAACACTCTTAAATTGGAGGAACACTCTTATACAGTATCATGTATTTACATCTATTATAATGATTATCATATTATTTTATAATTACCTATTTATTTATCTGTTTTTCCCACTAGACTCTGAATCCCTAAGTGGCTTGTTCACTAATATAACCCTGGCACCTTACACACTACCTGGCACATAGTGGGAACTTGACAGATGTTTAACGAATGAATAAATAAGTGAATGGATGAACAAATTCCCTCAGGGAACAGGGATAAAAGAAGCTAGTATAAGTAGGGAGAAAAATTGAAAGTAATGTACTACATAGTTTATTTATTCTAGAGGGAGCTAGCTAGCTGATACCTGTACTTTTATTCTAAACCTAGAATACTTCAAAGATTAATTTAATTGATGATTGTTGAAAAAATTTTACACACAAAAGCAGGTTTTAAGACTAGCCAGATGGTTTCCTTTAGCATCGAAACTGCTACATTATTTCTCTTGTTTGGCCTTTCTTCTCTTTTTTTCAATATTTCTGCTGCAGGAATGTGTTATAGATAAAAGAATAAATTATTTAATATATTGAAGCAAATGAACTGATCTTAAATGTGATATATAATTTTGAAGTACTGCCATATGAAAATTTAATAATTTACATTTATACAATTTTACTAAAAATGAAAATTTTTATATGTAATCTCCCAATTTTTTATTCCTTTAAGTTATCAAATGTTCTTTTAAATAAATTTAAAATGTACTTTATAAATACAAATAGTTATTTAATTCTTGGAACTTAATGGTATTATTTGAATTCTTAAATTTATTATTTCTGGGAAAGAAATCTCTGTTCGGTATAACCTTATGGTGATTTATTTAATTTTGGTTTAGTTTTAGGTTCATCATGTCGTTTATTCTGTCCAGGGATGCTTCCTGGAAATGCAGAAAACTCAATTTGCTGTAGAAAAAATACTAAATGTAGCAATTATGTTTTTGAAATAAGATTGAAACAGAGAGATGTAAGGGAAACTATAAACTCACACAATTGCAGATGTTCCTTGAGTTACCCAGGGGGAATATCTGCATGATGGATAATCTAAGAGGCTGGAGCAGGAGAACCCTATCCTGTAGGAAAGCTCTGGTAGATTAACAGTACTCACCCAGTGACAGCATCCTCAGATCTCTTCATTTCCCAGTTTGCCCTGAGGTAGGCTTCTTCAGTGGGCCAATTGAAGTAATTATAACTAGCCCAAGTTTTATTCAACTCGTACTTATTGTCTGTTGACTTTCAATTAGCTATAGCATCCTTTTAACTTATATTCTGGAATGTTTATCTTAAAATACAAATACAACAGTTGAGATATTCCTTTTCTTATACTCTCTTCCCATGTTATGACTATCTGGACTTTTTTCAGCCTGTTGTACTACACAGGAGTTTAGCATGCCTGTGGCCATGCTTCTTATTATCACTATGTTTGCCACTATTATTTCAAGCACTAAATAATCTTGATGGAAGTGGATTGTGAGTTACATACTCGTTGTAACAAATCAACAGTGGCTGCTTATAGACCTATCAGTATAATGGAGTCACATCATAATTGCTTTTAACTTTTATGAATTCAAAGAAATAGGCTCAGCAATAGAGTGGATGGATGGATGGACAGAGATGTATAGAGAGATAAAATATGGTGATTCTGCCATTGTTCTTCATGAGTTGTATTGAAAGAGTGACCTCAAGATAACAGATATAAATTTGCTATTCTTTTACTCCATGTCAGTTCCTGATTGCCAGGCTTTGAGTTTCATGGGATATAAACTCGGGGGCTTAAAGATACATAGTTTTTATAAAACATTGTCATTAAGTAACAGATGTTCATCTAAAGAAACAATATTACTTCAGTGCTGGAGAAAAACTGTGCTGGGCTTAGCTATACTGAGACTGTGTGTGTTGGTCTCCAGTGTAGCAGTTTCCTAGGGAATTTTCATTATACTTGATAATTTATGTGTTTGAACCTATTCCGTTACAGTTCATTTACCTATTAAATATTTAATGAAAAATTACTATGGGCTGGACCTCAAAGGATTCAAAAATAAGGAAAATAGACTTTCCTTTAGAAGATGTGTGTCTAGTTGGGGGGATAGAAAAGGGAATATGTGGATACTTTATAGTGTGATTATTACTGTGATGACACGAGTTGCTGTGGAACAGAGAATGAGCACTTGAATCAGTCAGTCCGTAAGGAAGAGAGAAGAGGAAGGGGGAGAATACTAGCGAAGGAACGTTTCTTAAGGTTGTTGCTAAGCCAAGACCTGAGTGTAACTGTGAGTTAGATCGTAAGGACGAGAAGGAGGGCACTGCTGCCCACAGGAAGCAGAATGTGTGGGATGCGCAGGAGCATGCGAGTTCTGCCCCCGGCCCAGGTGCAGAAGCCAGAAGTCTGCACAGGTGGGCAGGATCGTGTGGGGACCCATCTTTTCCGTCAGGTGATTCAGATTTTATCCTGAAGGCAGTGGAGCATCATATGGAAGGATTTCTGTAAGAACGTGTTTTAGAAAGAATACTTCGTAGCAGTGTGAAGCTTGGATTGGAGAAGACGAAATTGGAAGCCGGGAAACTGCTTGGGAGGCTACTGCAGTTAGTAAGTTTTCAGTAGTCTAGTTATAAAAATGGTAAGGTCATTCATTGAGAAAATGTTAGTGGCAAGGAATCAAAATCTAATGATTAGGTATTAGAATTTCCAGAATTTAATGACTAAATGGAGAGAGAAAGAAACATCATACAGTTTCCTGTTTGCTCCTTGGGAAATTCAGAAAGACAGGAAATGTGGGAAGAGGAATGAGTTCTGGGGTGATCACCTGGATTTGAGGTGCTCAGTGGGGATATCTGAGAGAGAATGAGTTCTGGGGTGATCACCTGGATTTGAGGTGCTCAGTGGGGATATCTGAGAGAGAATGAGTTCTGGGGTGATCACCTGGATTTGAGGTGCTTAGTGGGGATATCTGAGAGGTAGGAGATTTAGAACAGTGCTGAGACCAAGGCACGAAGATGTATCCAGAGTAAAAAAAGTAGGTGGAGTTGGAACATCAGTGGCCAAGAATTGCACCTGGAGATACCAGCATCTCACTTGGCGGTCACGAGGGTCGTAAGGAGGCTCCTGGGTAGAAGGAGGCAAATAAGAGAAGCCTTAGAAGTTAAGTAGAGTGTGTCAAGTATAACAGAGTGTATTAAGTTCTGCAAAATAACAAGTGAAAGATCCTCAT